TCGCTATGGACGCCTAGCGACAGTTCACCGTTGCGCATATTAACCTCATCAAGGGAGCAATGCAACCATATACTGTTTCTGATAGGCAAATACAATAGTATTTATTCATGCCCTCAGCTGTGCAACCCACTGAATTACATCGACCTCAAAAACATTTTGTTTTATTCCAACAAACTTCCAGTCTTAAATGTACTGCGAAAATGATGGCAGTCACCCGCCCCCGCCCCAAGCACAGGATTTACCATTGTCCCAGCTAAGGGTTCCCACTTACTTGGACTCCAGTGTGAATTCGGTTCCGTGTCCAGCACATTCCCAGGGACTTCTTCAGTGTCCAGGACTGAGATATCCGTCACTGGTTCTTCGCATTTGTCTAATGCAATCTGGTCATTCTGCGCAGTTTCCGCGTTGACATTCGTGTCTCCGCACGAATCGGGCTGATCCAAGCCTTCCTCGGCAGTCAATAGCTCATCCTCTTCCGAGACACTATTCCCATCTCCGTTTGTCTGGCGTGCCGGAGGCGATTCGGTTTGAACCAAATCGGTACTGGTCTCGTTATCTTGCTCAACGTCAGGAACTGCAATTGTGGTCGGTTTCGATTGAGTCGAGTTCCCTTGTACGTCGGGCTGCTGCACTTCCTCGTTTGCGGCAAACTCCGAGGAACTGTCCCCGGCCAACTCGAACTCAGCACGTTTTCGGGCGCGATCGTGTTTACGCTTCATTTGTTGTGGCTTTTTACGTCGCTGGCCGGAGAAAGAGAAAAGCACACGGGGAAAACAAGAGTCGTAAAACGAAGCGTGATGTGGGAATGCACGGCACAGAGAATTAGGCTGTTGCTATTATTTAACAGATCTCAAATGATTTTTGATTGTGTGAATGCGTTGGGCGAAGATAGATAAATTTAACAGGCTAACCAGAGAATTCAAATCACTTCAGCGTTTAAGGTCCCCTAGACAATCACGACCGGACAGGACCGTTTCCCTGTACTTCCGAAAGCCTCTGTATAGTCGGCGGTGTCTTGGGTAACGGCTGGTCGCCCCTCCCCTGCACCTCGTGAAGTGCTCCTACGTGTCCAATCGTCTCAAATCCACTCCGCTAAGGAAGCCCTACTCACTGCCTTCTTCTGGCGGATGTGAGGTCCCCACCAAAGTAAAAGGACGAAAAGTCAATAACCGGATTGGTGGACCACTGGTAGTTTACCTAGGGCAGTTGGCCAAAAACCCCGATTACAAGACAACCAAGAAAAGCCGTACGAACCCCCCGCGCACCTTCCCGGTTATGGCAGTGGTCACCGGCTCAATCGGGCATTGAAGTATATTGGGCAACATGGACGTTTAACCCCGTCCAAAGGGCGTATGATCCAATGGACTGGACACCAGAACCCAATCCGAGGCGGTTTCAACACACCGCCCCACTGCCTTGCGGGATTGGCTTTGGCTAGCCGAAGGCTCCGATTGTGGATTCCTCAAGAAAATTCAACTGCCTTGACCTGGGCAACCCGGCAGTACTCGTTCCACATGCAAATCATGGAATTGCTTTTCTTTGTAAAAAAAGATTATTGTACCATGAGCTGTTTGAAACAGTCTGACCTCAGACATGTGATATATATCATTATAAGTAGTCGACCGGTCTAAACTCTGACTCTGCCTTTCCCTGAAGGGAGTCCCCGAGAAGTTAATCACAATATTACAATCACTTTGTACTAATAGCCGAATTCGAGTCCGAGCTTACGGCACTTTTTCACCCGACTTCACCACAAAAAGTGGTGTTCGTCAGGGTTGCTCTCTTTCTCCTTTTCTATTCAACTTTGTTATAGATCTGATTATGGAAACAGCCTACTCTCGTGCGAGGATAGTGGCATCGATTAACTTGCAGGTGGCAAGCTGTCTGATCTAGAGTACGCAGACGACATTATGCTACTAAGTGAAGATCCAGGTAAGTTTGCAAGCTTTTCTGCATAGTGCGAGTGTAGCCATATTCGTTATGCGTTTTGCACCTTCAAAGTGTAAAATGCTACTACAAGATTGGGTTGGTAAGCACCCAATGTAACCCTTACTGAGAAAGTAGTAGAGGAAGTAGACCAATTTTGCTATCTGGGCAACTATATCTCACCTGGCGGACGCATCACGGATGAAGTGTCGGCGCGTATACAAAAGGCTCAGTTGGCATTCGGTGGGCATTTGCCAAATTGAGACATGTGTGATATCCGGCTATCTGTGAAGGGTCGAGTGTGTGCTGCAGCATTTCGGCCAGTCCTGCTTTACGATACATAGACTTTGCCACTACGGGAGCAGGATAAAAGTAGATTATCGGTGTTCGAACATCGCTGTCTATGTCGCATTGCACGAGTTTGGTGGGAAAACCGGGCGATCAATGATGAGGTTAGACGTAGAGTTTTAGGCTGTCGCAGTCGTCCACTGGAGCGAGTGATCAACCTGCATAGATTACGTTAGTTGGGGCATGTGTTACGCATGTCATCAGAGAGGTTGCCACGGCGAGTGATGTTTGCCAAGGCCGATAGCAGTTGGGAAAAGTTCAAGGTTGGTCAAGCTAAAACCGGGCATGACGGTATGAAATCCTGGAGCCAGGAGACTGGATCACAGGTCGTGTTAGGCTCCCTGGCTGGGGACCTCGGTATGATCGTAACCGAGGGTTAGAGACATTGAGTGATATGGCTGAATGTCGCAAGCAGTGGCACTCATGCATCCACTCATTATTCCCCTATCACTATTCTGTATGAATTCTCCATTTTCCGCTTGAATTTGCTTTCAACATTCCCATCTTCATTCTGCTCGTTTATCCCAATGGGGTACCAAAAGACAGCAACCAAAACCGGCGCACAAAAGTGCATGGTTAATGGTTGTAAAAACTGAACTGAGCGAATACAAATGTGACGTCCGCTTCATTGCACATCTAATCTACTCTGTCATGTTGCGGAACTCCGAACTCTTGTCTCATCTCTTCCTCACAACAGACAAGAACACATACAATTCACAAACGCACAGCGAATCTTGATCCATTGAGTTCGGTAAGCTTCCGATACATGCTTGTCGTAGCTATTGAACTTTCAGAAATGTGTTCCAAGCATTGCGTTCGCATGGTCTCTTTTACTTGTTACTCATCTTACGAAGACAAACACCAGACGTATTGATCTCGATCGTTGTTTCAGCTTACTTAATATCCAGTCATACTTTACCTACCTCAGGCTATCTGGTAATAAATGCTCTTCGTGGATGAACGTACAATCGACCACCCGTACGATACCATACTAACTGAGCCCAATCAACGAGACGCCCAGCGGAATAAGATCCCTTAGACCCCAAACCGCAAGAAGAGAAACTTGCAGGCGGGATTGTATACTTGCCTCTACCCCGGGGAAACTTGGAACTGGTGATACCATAGAAGCTTCGTTTGGTGCAATAAAAATGATATAAAATTTCAACCATAGGCGGAATAATCCCTCTTTTAAGTAAAATCTTGATTTTTCTCTATCACTTTAAGTGTTCGCATTCAAAGAACAATAACAACAACAAGACCATTATATTCCACACGCACCACAGCCTAATGTCTTGTCTATTACGCTGTCGTTTTCTCTTTCCAGGGAGCTGCGCAGATGTGGAGGATAGTGACGGAACCGAGCGTCGAAATACGACTAGCCCGGTGCGACCGGATTCGCCGGAAAACAAATCCCGGTGGAACAGTTCCACATCAAACGCGACTGGACCAAACGAGACCACCGTGCCTGCTTTCCTTGTGGAACAATTGGAACAACTCAACCTGGATGAATCGAACGACACAGAGGATTCGGAAGAATCCCTTCTCACTCGGGCCAGCCGATTGGCTCAGATCCCTTTACAAGCTTCCAGTTTGAGTCAGTTAGGTGTGAATCACGGGGACTCAGTTTGTGATCTGTATTCCTGTTTGTCTCTGTTCACCGCACCGGAACATCTGGACGGCACGAATCGTATCGTGTGTCCTCAGTGCAACAAACATCCGAATGGGCGTGGTGATCAGGCGAGTACGGACGATACCAAGTCTCAGAATCAAGTTCTTACCGATGCAATCCGGAGGGATTTGGTATTACAACCGCCTGCATTGCTCACCATTCATTTGAAACGTTTTCAACAGGTTAGTTACTAGGTGGTGGGTGCACGGTTTATCCTCATCTATGTCCGGTTTTGGTTATTTGCCGTCTGCATTGGTGATAGGCAGTTTGTCTGGTGTCCGGTTCAGTACCACACCTAACCTAGAGTGAGACCTAATGTGGTCTACCGCTCCAGGTCTCGGGATTTTGGCTCTGTGCATTTCTTCATGCCTCTTTTCCACGTCATATGTTGACCTCCACGTGGTTTCCTCCAATCTGGATCCGCAGCTGCGAATAAGACGCGATGCCGTAGACAGTGGCTGGGGAAGCGCAAGACGTGTTCTACCCCGCAAAGCCGATCAACCTGAATTTGATAGGACAACGAATTCTCCAAAGCCCTTTCATCATCGTCCTGACAGCTTCATTGTCATCCAGCACACTACACTGTATCCATACCACTTAGACTTTATGGGTCGGTACTGCAAGTCCCAAAGTTTAAGTCTTCGGTTCCCATAACCGAACATTGGGTCTTTGTGACCATGCGTCTTGTCCCTTCAGCGCTTCATCATATTGGGATGTTCGGTAAACAAATAAATATGCTATTTCCTTCAGTTTCTTCAAATCGTTTTATTCTGCTTTTGATAACTGATTCTGTCTGACTGAAGCTAGCTCATATTCCGCTTACCGCATTACTCAAATTGATTGCTTAATGTTTGACAGCGATCGTTGTTGGTTACTCCCCCCCCCCTCCTCGTCACAGATTGGAGTCCATATACGAAAATCTCAAAAACGCGTCATTTTCCCGTTACTGCTTGATCTGAGTCCGTTCTGTTCCGCCCTGTATTTGGTAAGTGTTGTTCCGATCTCGCCCCACTTGTCCATCCATTATCACGGAGTTTGTATCTCCACTCCAACCGCCTTCTTTTATTGTAGACAATGGCAAGTGCCTTCCAGTTGTTGTTGTTCTGCTCTCCATAGATTTTTCGCCTATCACTTGTGTTTGTCTGTTACGCCATGAAAGTGCAAATAGTTGGTTTAAGACCTATTGCGCTTGTACTGCGGGGCTGAGGGGTGGGTTGCCAAGAAAATCGGATCTGCAGTATAGGGTTTAGACGGTCAGCTATGATACGACTCCGACCATGATAAGAGACAAATTTACATGGTTGAACTGTTTGTTTTATCCACATCTAAGTGAAATCTCTATAAATTAAAGCCCTCTTAGGCGTACGGGAATAAGAAAGTGAGTTAAACCGGCTGTTTCGTGGCCTATAAAGCAGCCTTGATCATAATGATTAGTGGAATGGATTGAGTCTTCGGGGTCTGGGCGCCCGCCTAATTTGCGTTTGTGCACAGCTGCGCTCATGAATGAATTGTAAATCCAACAGCTCCCGTTAGTATTCGATTATGCTATAGTTTGCCTACTTTTAGTTTTCCGATAAGTTGCTGCAGACAAGTGCAATCAGAGTATCAATGTAACCCGACTGAAATTCTGTTGTCGTTTGCCATGTTTTAACATTTAAACATTTTATTACTCATGAGTAGCAAAACGTTGTATTCTTATAATTTATTTATTTTACTGGTAAATCACCTAACCCGGTTTGTCATTTTGGCAAATTTGGCATTCATAACGAAGCGAACGAAGGTTTTCGGGTAATTTTTTCATCTCTAACTCGATTTCAGTCCCAGTCGCGATCTGTTCAATACCGATTGTACGGTGTTGTTGAGCATCTCGGCCACATGGCCTGCGGACATTATGTGGCCTATGTGGCCGTCCAAACCAATCCCGATTTAAAGGAACCGGATTCGCAAACACTGAATGGTAACAGCTCGGCAGAGTTTATCAAACGTTTTGTCGGCCAATTAGATATTGCACCCAAATGGCCAATGACCACACATGATCTCCTGCAACGTTGGCGTCGGTGTGATCGGAATCGTCTGTCCGAGTCCATTGAGGAAACCAAATCCCTTGTCGGTGATATGCTAGGCTCATCCGGATTACACGGTGAGCCGTCCGCGGAGCCAACGCACTTGCCTAGTCAAGCCGCATCGGAGCATGACAGTGCCAACTCGGAGGAGACCACCGATACACGAACGTGGTTTCGTTGTTCCGACGAGCATATCGATCAGGTGCCGTTGATGAAAGTGTTACAGTGCCAGGCCTATGTTCTATTTTATGAACGTATCAGATGAACATCTGAAACCATATTGTTTCTATCTCGATCTAATGTCTTTCCAGAAGCCGCGTTCCATTGTTTGGGAGGCCTTTTGCTGTATCATTCTCACTTTATCTCCATTGTTTTCGCTTTGAACGCAATCAGTTCATGTACAGTCGAAACCGATCGATTGTGAACTCATGCTGTCCATTTGAGATAGTGCCCTGAATCTCCCCTCTACAAACATACCTAGCCTATCATTGAATCGGGCTTTTTGCCTTCTCCATCTTGATAAACAATAAGTATCTCTTTAAAAGTAGAACGGCTATACAACTACATCACTACGTCACGGTACCACGTGATTCACCAAGATCTGGGTCATCTCTTCACCATTCAAAGGGCGCGATAGTAATTTGTGTACGCAATGCAAAAAAGACTGTTCGCATCCCAACGTTCGGGTGAAGTTCAGATCGACCTGTTCCCAATCACAATAGCAGCTGAACACATACAATGCGCTCTAAGTCTACTAACTGTCACAATGTGGATTTGAGAAAATTCTGGCGAAACATGCCACTTCTATGCCACCACCTGTTTCTCTTCAACAGACAGACCAATT